ATGAAGGGTTGTGTTACGAAAAGTTTACGAATTACCAGCTATCATTTCTCAGGTACGATCTTACTGTGGGGTTACGATATACGAAGTAATATCAAATTCACTGATTTGCCTGAAAAGTGGACTACGGGAGTTATAATATGCTGATTATAGAGCCATCCATTTTTCGTGGTGAAACCCTTTCGCACGTTAAACATAAAATTATCCGAATTTTCCTTATCCTGTACATTAATGAGTTTGACCATACTATAATATACCACTTATATGGGCTTACGACGCGTTGCGACCAATATTTTTGTAATCAGCACTCCGCTCCGCTAGACCACTTAGCGACAAATCTGTGTTTTTGACAACGATAATATAAACTTACCGTAATCTAAGAGTAATGTTCTTTGGAAAGAATGGATATGTTCCTTGTATCAAAGTACCCCATTACTATGAAATAGCATTTTTCGTGCATCTCACATTCCAGAAAAACATTGACGGTTGGCTCGTTTTTTTCTGCTCTCTGGATTTCCAACTTCAATCATTTCTAACTTTACAAAAACCGCATCAGTGAATAAGCCAAGTACAATATTTAGAGGATTTTTTCCCAAATGGTGTATACTCTGATGGCAGTGGCTATTAGACAGTTTCCTTTCGTAACATGAGGAAGCATGCCATTTCTATGGATTTCTCTGCTGCTGAAAAGAAAATCAAAGCGAAATGTCTATATATACACTATAGAAACCATAAAACTTCTCTCTCAATAGAATCACTTGCAGCAATGTATGGGGATGGTTCGTTTAGAGAACACGAGTTCCTAGCACGCTGCAGCATTTCCTTAGAGCAAGCAACCAGGCTTAAGCTCCTTGATAGTCCGACGCACTACACCTTAACTGATTGGTATATACAGCGTGGTCCACATGAAGTGTGACGCAAAGAAATACCCACAAATTTGCATCAATCAGTCCAAATAAGAATGCTCTTTTATTCAACAGCCAGGAAAATCCACATAAGAGATTATAAATTGCCTTCAAAATGGCCACCTTTAATTCCAGTACAAGCTCTCAATGTCTTTTCGAAACTCTTGCGGATGCGCGCGATCATTTTTGGCGAGATTTCTCAAACGATTCAATTCCTCCAGTCTCTTTGAAGAGTTTATGACTCGGTGGTTGCTCTCGATGTAGTTTGAGTGTCTTTGAAATCTTAATAAATAACAAGCCGCGCTTTGCATAGCGACTATTGCAGAACGGTCATCATGTGATACCAATTTTATCTAAAAAAAAGAGAAAAGGACTGACCAAAGTAGGGCTAAAAGATTCGAGAAAAACGAATAATACGATATCAAAGCAAAAAAATGTTTAAAAATGCCAAAAAATGGGCTTTTCATAGCTCGTCACACTTCATGTGGACCACCCGCCACCAAAACCATCAAATCCAAAGGTTACTGTCATCGACAGGATTGGAACCTGCCTCTACGAAGAGGACTACGATGTGAACGCAGCACTAAAGAGTTTTATTATTAGAGCTTTGTCTATTGTTTCAAATGTGAATGAGGATTTTTTTCATACTGTGTCAAACAAAAAGGGCACAACAAGATTCTTAATTATTTGTCCTTATCTTAGCACTTTTCTTACTCTGCCACTGAAAATTTAGGACAGCTTGCTGACTTATAATTACCAAAAAGCCTTTGTTGAAATATATAAATCGGATGAGCTAGAGTGCGTTGAAATATATAAATCGGATGAGCTAGAGTGCGTATTTCTATTTTTGACGACTTCCTATAACGGGGACGCTTTTGAGAACGTGCAGGTGGTTCCAAAGCTTTGCAGCCCTTCTTT